CATTGATTATTTGATGACGTGGGTGCAGGATCAGTTAGATGACGAAACGTTGTTCCCTTCTAAAATAGGTAAGTTCACTTCAAAAATATAGTATTATTGACATTCCCCATATCATTTTACATATAAAATGACAGTGATCTTCATGACAGGTCTTCATTTCGAAGCCATCCCTGACGCCGTTTTTTTTTCGATTGTATTGTAGTTATGGACAAAATCTTCATATACAGTATAATAATATTCGTATACAGTCTTTACAATCAGAGGATCCATTACAATGACAGTTGTGTCAGTAATTTGAATTGATATATTGTTTTATTACATAATTATACAGGGTGCTACAAATTCGGGGTACGAGCATTGGTATCTCGGTAACTGTAATAGATACGAACATGGTTATATTGGGGCAAAGTTGCGCTTTGAGATGTTCACCAAGATGTCATCAAAAAAGCTTAAAAAATTTCAAGGGTTTCTGAGTTTGGTTTGGAAAAAACGGATTTCTTTGAAAATCAATTTATTTTTTCCTGTCGTTACTTTTTAGAAAATCCAAAAACTAATTGCACATTTTCATGACCACTTTATTAGGGCTATTTGAGAGTATTTTAAGATTTTTAAATTAGCTGATAATTTGCGAGATACAGATGCCAACTTAATTTTTTTAAATACGCACTTGCATGTTTTATTTCAGGTTTTGAAAGAACGGTCTCCTGAGTACAATGATATCCTACACTTTATACATTTTTTTGTTTTGGGTATCTTAACAACAACAAAACTATACCGTGCTGGCAACTGTTACTTTTGGGTCGGCATTTACATGTGTGGAAGTAAATCGCATTGGGATCTTATTAAGTCGGAGTGAGAGAAATGCGACCGACCGCGGTGTGCTGTTGCGGCGTTGCCGATACGCCTTTCGCTATCAAGTAAAGTAAAATCACGATCGCAAACCGCTTATTTTTAAAAGACTTTTTTTTCAAGAGATAACTAGATAAAATCATTAGGTTTGTAATGTTTCTGAGCATCTGAAATAGAATTATAAGGATATCGTTAGGGTGTCATTCTTTTATAACGAGAAAACGTCAGTAATCGCGATAATTTAAAAACTCAACTTTTTAACACATAACAGGCCATAACTCAAGAACCACTTTAGATATTGAAACTTTTTTTTATTTTCAAGATCGGATATTTTACAATATGTTTACATAAGAAAAATTCGATAAGGTTGTTTTTTCCATTCAAAAATTGTAAACAATCCATCCATTTACTTTTAGAGCATAGCAATTTTCAGCAATCGTGTAATTTTTTTATTGATACAGATTGTCACATACTCTCTACAAAGAAAATACAGCCAGAAATATTAACAAAGTTCTTGAAAAAACTACAAACTATTATTTCTAATAGATTTCGAGATATCGATTTTTGAATTCAGAGTTCTAATAGCGTGACCACTATCGACCACCCACTCAATTCCACTTATTTTTACCAAAAATGCAAGTGTTTCTAGCTTGCACTTAAAAAAATCAAGCTATAGGGAAAATTACAACGACTCGTTAATAAATAAACAAATCAAGTATCACGAGACGTAATTAAATCGTGAAGCTGAATGCATGACGTACACCTCTCCCTAGAACTTTATGTACTGACAGAGGTATTGATTGGATGATTGGGTTGACCGGTCAACTGCGACAAATCTGCTATATCCCCTTCCACGTCTCTTAGCGATGTGCACAGTTTCTCGGTTTATTTCATACGTTTGGCAACGTGTTTACTGTCCTCTCTTTGTTCAGTACATTATAAACGCACTGTACTCTTCTTACATACGGAAATCTCGACCCAAGACTAACCTTTGCCAGCCCTTAGTATAATTATTAATTAAAATAATTTCAAGTCCGACTCTGGTTTTTTAAATTATTTAATCTGATTATATTCATCGCAACAATATTGATCAGCGCTAATTAACATCGAATAAGGAAAATCGAGCCAATTGGAAGATTCAAATAAGTAATATCCAGGTGAGCAATTTAAAGATATTATTTTATTGCATTTGATTTTCCGTATTCAATGTTTTACTCCACGTCATTGTTAAGTCTGAAAGCTTATCAATATTGTAGCGATGAATTGATTAAACATTGAAAAAAAAACAGACCCGGACGTGAAATTAGTTTAAATAAATTGTATCTCACAAATTGTCAGCTAATTTGAAAATCTAAAAATACTGTCAGATAGCCCTAATAAAGTGGCTATGAGAATGAGCAATTAGTTTTTTGATTTATCAAAAAAGTAACGACAGGAAAAAAAACTGATTTTCAAAAAATCTGTTTTTTTTCCAAAAACTCAGCAATCATTGAAATTTTTAAAACTTTTTTGATGGCGTCTTGGTGAACATCCCAAAGCGCAATTTTGCCCTAATTTAAACATCTTCGTATCTATTACGGTTACCGACATACCAATGCTCGTACCCCGAATTTTTAGCACCCTGTATCACAATCTATTCTTTTCATATTTTAGTAATCAGATAATTAATTTCGAATTTTAATATCAAAACACTGTCTGTTGTTCATTTGAACTACTATGTATATGTAACTTAAAACAAAAAAAATAAGGAGTTATTATTGTAGCCACTGATCCTGAGCAACTGCTGTATCCCCTAAAAAGCTTTACATTGTTGTGCTGTGAGATATTTTGTCCAAATTTATTGACTAGTGTGTACCAGCGACTCTGTTCGCGTCGAATTAATCATTTGTAATGGTGGATGATAAAGCAAAGCAAGAATTTCCATTAACATACAACTGGATAAAATTTTCTCACATTTATGTCGGCATGAGAAAAAAACAATATGGTAATATTTGAGGGGTAGTTTGATGTCGTTGGAATCTGACTTTCGAAAAATCCGTTTGCAAAATAAGCTTTTTACGTCAAGCAGTTTAAGCAGAATCGTGGTTAAGAAATTACCCAACTTTTGGAACACCCTGTATGATTTTTTAAAAATTCAAAGTAAGTAAAAAAGCAAATAAATTTTGCCTGTCCAAGCGTTTCCCCGAGAGACTAACCATTTTTTAAATAACAAATATTGTAATATTTGAGGGTCGTTTTTACCTTCTTGGAATTTGAGATTCGAGAAACCCTCCTTACCGAATCTCTACACCCCACAATCAATCCGTTTACTAAAAATCAGCTTTAAACGTCAAGCAGTTTAAGCAGAATCGTGATTACTCAATGGTCATATTTTATGAAACACCCTGTATAAATTTATAAAAAATCTTAAAATATGTAAAACAACAAAATAAAATATACGTGTTTAAGAGTTTTTCCGAAAAACTCACCGGTTTTTAAATAAAAAATATATTTTAATATTTGAGGGATAGTTTCACCCCCTAAGAGTTCGAGTTTCGAAAATCCGTTCTTATCGAACCTCTACACCCTAAAGTCAATCTGTTTTCCAAAAATCAGCTTTTACGTCAAGCGCTTTAAGCAGGATCGTGATTAATCAATGACCAGATTTTTCGAAACACCCTGTATACATTTTTAAAAAAAATCTTAAAAATATGTAAAAACAAAGTAAAATATACGTGTTTAAGCGTTTTTTGAAACTTGACCATTTTTTAAATAAAAAAATATTGTAATATTTGGGGGTGGTTTCACCCCTTGAACTGGAATTTCAAAAATCCCTTCTTATCGAACCTCTGCACCCTAGAATCAACCTGTATGCCAAAATTGAGCTTCTTACGTTGAGTGGTTTGAGCAGGATCGTCGTTAATCAGTATTGGTGGGTTCATACAGCCAAATAAAATAAAATAAGAATAAAATAAAATAAAATAAGAAAGTTGGTTATATGGGATACCGTACATGCGTTCATACAGCCAAATAAAATAACAAATAAAATAAGAAGTCTTTATCTTTTAACTTCTTGTTTTATTTTATGTGAAAACGGCTTTGCGCACGCTTAATTCTAACCTACAAATATTTTCAGTTTGGATTTAATTTATTTTATAATTTCACGTAAGTAAAATGTATAATATAGTAGGCAACAAATAAATAAATATACTATAAATAGTAAAATTACTATAAACAATCGTAAAAGTTAAATTTTATCCAGCCTCATCGTACTGCGCATGAGCAAATATATATTTCTTATTTTATTTTATTTGACTGTATGAACGCACACAAATAAGAATTCCTTATTTCTTATTTTATTTTATTCTTATTTTATTTTATTTGGCTGTATGAACCCACCATTTAGTCAGTCACTTAAGAATTTCATATATTAGTATAGATGCTGGATATTATTTTCTAAATCATCGGCTTGTATTTTAACTGTTTTTTTTTCTCAAAATATTCTTGTTGTAATCAATACCTGAATAATTTATTATAAAGCCTGTTCAGGCAGAAGCTCGAATTTGGGACACCCTATACAGGTTTCTGTGGAACACCCTGTATTTATTGGTTAATGTTTCGAACATGACTTAGCACACTGTTAATCTATATTTAGTAAAAGGGATTGTACATTATTTCCGGTTCTTTTATTACTTGTTGTTTTTCTTTATAAATTTTCTCGTCTCTGACTCATCGAATTATTTTTTATTTCTATTCTTGGTTCTGCTGTTATGAAATAGAGACAATATCCTACAAAAGCTACCAATTAAAACATAATTTCTCTTTCCACTTTCGTGATTTTCATCGGTCGGTCGATACCATAGACTTAAAATAAAATAAGACTGAGCATCTCATTCATAAATAGCTGGAACATGCGGTCAGACACTGTCTTGTTATTGTTGTGTTATTGTTTTAGGTTATAACGAGTGCGACACGAGCGATAGATAGGTTGTCTCTGTCGTAACGGTCGTTCCCTGACGACTCTGCCGAGAAACACAACACAAACTTTCGTTTCTCAAGTACACCTGAACTCTCCGTATCATAGCCGGGTAATTTTTTTATTTTAATGAAGCTATAATTAAATTAAAAATATATCGTATTTAAACTTTTTTATATTTTATTAAGATTTAGGACAGGTTTTTTAAATATAAGTTTAGAAAAAACAATTTAGAGTCCAAAAAGGATAAAAATAATAAAATACACGTTATAGAAGAAATTTTATAATTGAAATTAGGTAATTTTTGAAATTAATAATAAATTATTAATTTTAGTCAAACATTTACAACCCCTAATATTAATCAAATCAGTATCTATTCCACAGATATAATAGAATCGGCGACAGGGAGAGAAAAAAATATATAATTGTTGTAATTTTTTTTCTGGTTAAGTGATGTCTTATTAAGTAAATTAGAGAAAACATAAATCTGTTCCATTAAAGCAAGGAAGGTGATAAAATGAAAACTATATTTATTTAATTCGGTACTGTCTTTATTATACCGGGTGCGTCTCAAAAGTGGCTCATCCCCCATAATTTTTTTATATTTTCAAATAAAAAAACAAGATTTAGTATGTTAGTATATGAAATAAATTAGGATTGATTGACGCATTCAATTGTTTTTGGTCACTTCCTTTTTAACCGGAAATGACTATAACTTTTAATTTTTTATTCGATAGAAAATGACACTCTGAATAGAATGACATATCATATGTCAACTTTGACATTTTCGCATATGGTTTAATTGTAATTGTAACACGCGGTTCATAACGACAATTTGACTCGAAATACCAAGTGTGTGGTATCATATATTCATAAAAAAATGCTTTTTCCAAATATGCTAATGAGTCACCCTTGTTCCATTTGAAAAAATTGACATATGTATGATTAAAAATACGATTTGTACATATTTTAACCGACTTAGACAAGACACGAAACCTATTAGACGATCAAAACTATTTTTCCAAGGCTCCTTGATTAAAACTTAGTGTTTTTAACAACACCATGGCACCCTGGATTGAAATTTAAAATACGATTTGTTTTTCAGCGACAATGTCAAAAGTTGACATATGATATGTCATTCTATTCAGAGTGTCATTTTTTATCGAATAAAGTAGCAATATACCGAGGTTGCCTTTAAAAATAAAAAGATGTAATCATTTCGGTGAAACAGGAAGAGACCAAAAACAACTGAATACATCAATAAATCCTAATTTATGTCATATACCTATAACATACAAATCTGTTTTTTTTATCTGAAAAAATAAAAAAGTTATAGGGGGTGAGCCACTTTTGAGACGACCCGGTATATTAAAAAATATTGTTTCATAATGTAATATCAATTTAAAATTCTTGTATGTTATTTTATATGCTCAAGATAATTTTAGAATAAACCATATTTTTAATAAAATCATTATTAATTATTAACAGGGTTATAATTATGACTTTGTTACAATGTAAGTAAGTAAATAATGTAATGAGAAAAAATTCAGATTTTACATTTTACTAAAATATTATCTAAATAAGCGCCTTTCTACAACAACGCCACTGGCTCCCAATGGGCAAATTGAGAGTTGTCTACCGGTCGAAAGTCGTTTCAAGACTTAAATGGATTATTTAAGTCAAATTTCTTGCAAATTTGGCACTGGCGAACCATATTTTATAGTTCTTGAACAGAAAAAGTCAATAAAATAAACACTTAAGGACTACAAACTAAGAAAATGCGTTAATACAGCCGGGGACATAGCGGCATCAAAGCTTTACCGCACACTTGCCACGCGTACTACAAGGTAAAAATGAATGAATAGGCTCCCTCGCCTCTAATCGGTGTTGTCATATTGTAAAGAACTTATCCTTATTAAACAGTATCCGACTTATAATTTAGTAGTATAAGGACTATTTAATACATCTATGGAATATTAAAACCTACTTTATTAAACTGTAGTATTAATATCTCAATATATGTGTATAAAAAGAAAAAAAATATTGATAATATTAAAGACGTGACAACATAGGCTGGATGAGGAAGGCTCGGTCGACTGTACCCAGAAGTAAACATGTGTACAAAAAAGGTTGTTTGTCCGCGTTGAGATGTAAATAGTGTAGTCTATATTTTATTTTAAGTCTATGGTCGATACGCTTTAATGCCTTACTAATCAGAATTTTACGTCTACAAAAATACCTATACATTGTTTAATAAGCTGACTTAAATTGGGTTGTTTCAACACAGAATAGTGTTAATTAATTTTCATATTTACCTTCTTTCGGTAAAAAGTTCTACACTTTATTTTTTTAATATAGTCCTATAAGCAGTAATATTAGGTCTCTAAAAATATTTGATTTCATGATTATGTGTGAAAAATTGAAAATATACTTTTTGCTTAAGATCAATTTGTATTTTTTCTTTATACAGGGTGGTCAGAACTGTATTCCGGAAACTTCGGCAGCTTATTCTGCAGATAAAAATAAGTAAAAAGTTCGTATAAATGTATGGCCTAAAATGCTTAGTTTCGAGATACAGGGTGTAGAAGTTTCTTTTTTTATTTCGTTCTTTTCCAAATAATTTCTGAAGTAACTTCAATATTTGGATGAAAATTCGTGTCTAGGAGTTTTTTGAAATAATGAGAAATCTGATTTTGATGTCAATATGACTCTTATTTCTAGGGGACGCCACCTACACGTGTTTTAACTGTTTTGAAGAGTAATAACTTTTCGTCTGTACCTGTATATATTTTCGTGACTTTTACGTAAAATATGTACTGTTTGGTATGGGTAGTGGCTGTTATTCCATTTATTCCTAAAGCAAATCATCTCTGTAATGCTTGATTATAATCAGACATAATCAGACACAGATGACATGCACTAACTGATATTTATAAATAACAATTTGTAAAATAAGAGATTACTAAATAGTGCCCTACCACAGATTATTATTTCAGATGTGGCTCTTATTTGACTTATTTCACCTTGCTGGTAAATGCCGCCGTGACCTCGGACTGCCTCGACCTTTAACAGGAGTAAAGGCGTTGTCAGACTTCCTTTTTTTCTCGAATGCATTGTGCCGTTTGTAAAAAATGTATTCCTAATTAAAATTGGGAATGCATTTTTTTAGATTTTTGTCATATTTTAAGTTCTTAAAAAAGCGTAAACATCAAGCGACAAAACAGGTATTAGTTTAAAAAGTATAAAAGTAAGATTGGTTGACGAATAAAGTAGGCTAGCTATTGATTATTGATGGGATAACTCGAGCGAAAATTCGCTCGAGTACTCGATTATTGAAATAATCGACATCGCTCGATTATGAGCGATGCAAGTGGCGAATACCAAGCGACGAACGCAAGCGATCCTGGAATGAAATAAATTGAAATCCGATTTTAATGTGACATACTCGATAAAAAGCCGAGCGAATTTTCTACATACATTGCAGATAGAAAATTTATACGACGCCGTATATATATTTATTCGTTGCGTATTTGAGGGACAAAATTTTACGACCTACATCGACAATGCTTTGAAATAAACTAAATCAAGCCATCAAGCGAATCGCTCGCCGCTTGCTACTTGCCATTCATTACTGCGCGCGCAACTTACTGCTTGGCGCTTGGCGTTGACGAGTACTTACAACAAGCGACGCGTGACGTGTGAAAAACCGTATTTTTAAATACGAGTAATATTTCGCTCGAGCGATCACTCGGTTATTGCAATCGCTTGAAACTCGAGTAATTAATCAGTTTTTCCCATCACTACTATAGACAAGGAGAAAATAATGACTAATACCGACACAGGCCCAACAAAAGCAAAGCTATGCCGTCAAAAAAAGTAAAAAATATTTTCTAGTAAATTTCTTTTCGCATTTCTTGTTTTTTTTTCGATTTGAACTACAAAAAAAAGGATATTCGTCGCATAATTTTATTTATCCGGTCGCACGATCGCACAGCTGTTGTGTTGGGGCTTGTGTGGCTTTTTAAATCGGTGATTTAAAGGGACCGAATGCATCCTTGTTTAATTTAGTTTCTCCGTCTTACTGAAAAATCTGAAATAATAATCTGTGCCCCTACTAATTCCATCTTGTCTCTTCCAGGCGTACCCTTCCCCAAAAACTTCCAGTCCATCGCCAAGACCATCCTCAAACGCCTGTTCCGCGTTTACGCCCACATCTACCACCAGCACTTTAGCGAGGTGGTACAACTCGGCGAGGAGGCCCACCTCAACACCTCCTTCAAGCACTTCATCTTTTTCGTGCAGGAGTTCAGCCTGATCGAACGAAGGGAACTGGCACCGTTGCAGGAGCTCATCGATAAGCTGACAGCGAAGGAGCAGCGATAAAAAGTGGGGTTATGTAGGGAGGACCTGGGCCTTTTTTAGTTTTATTCTTTTTTTTGTTAGGATTCAATCGTTTGTTTTGGATTGGAATGCAGGGAGGAAGGTATTTTGCTAGAGTGTCGTGTAGTTAAGTAGAGGTTTGGAATTGATGACAGGAGAGGTACATTTGTACTTCTGTTTGGGTAGTTATACAGGATTTGTCAAGAAGTTTGCGACAAATGGGTTTATGCGCTACCAAATAAAGCTTATTCGCAATTATTTTATATTTCCAATAACTAAAGCTTCATTTAGAACTTTGCAATTAGTTGAATAAATTTAGTGGTTCCAATTACACTTTATACTTTTTAGTTTACAATCATTCATAATATTTAAAAAAACACAATTAAAATTAATAGAATATCCTAGCAACAGCTTGCGTTAGTCAGTTGTATCCATAGAGAAAATCAAATATTTAGCTTTTAAAACAATAAACTTTTGATTCCTAACCACAATTTCTCTTGACTGAAGATAATCACAGGCCAAAATTACATTTCTCGCAGATTTTGAAGTATAATTAGTGCAAAAGTTAAAAATTTGATAACTTTTTCTACTAATTGAAGATGTCTACCACTAATTTTGACGTTCGGAATGCTTACATTGATATTAAAGGAACAAACTTCTACGTTAATTGAAACCACTAATTGCGAGGTTCTGAATGAAGCTTCATGAAAACTAATTTTGACATATTTTACAACCCTAGATATATTATACTTACGTGGATAAGTAAACCACTAGAAACACTGTCGCAAGCATACCATGACACACGATCTTTAGATATTGTTTTTGCACTCTTTTTTTTTTATCAAAAAGTGACCATTTCTAGTAGTAATTTTATTTTTGGTACTATTTGACACAAATTTGACACAAAATTGCTAAAGCTATCATTATAGACAGCCAAATCATTACTTTTTTGAGTCCCTCCACAAAAAAGGGATAACGGATTGGATAATTTACTAGATGATTTGGCAACCATGTATCAATCCGCAATGTTTGTCAAAATGAATCTTCACTACTGTCAGGTAATCATTTTCAGGTAAAATGGGCTTCATTTTCTATAAGAAAGAACTTTGGGCTAAATGAGGTAAATAAAAAAATCTATGACAATAAACAATTATTATTACAGAACTACATTTAAGAATTTCCAAAAAAAAATAACTATACGACACTTTAGCAAAAGCAAAACAAGGCTAAGAATTGATCTCTTTTTTTATTCAATCAGAATTACAGTGCAAAAATTTCATATAATATAGTTTGCCCAGTGAAAGAATACATAACAGTGATACATGACAGGTAACAGTCGTCTGTCATTCTCTGACTGGACCGACTATACTTATTATATACAGGGTAGTTGTTAAACTAGCAAATATTTTTTACTAACATATACTAATTTTTTAAAACATATTTTTCTATATCTAGTTTAATTTTAATCGAACTTTTTAAAATTATTTTTTATTGAGGTTGTTTTAATTTAACACAGATTCTTGCGTGACGGTGTTTTTTAATTGTAAATATTAGGTTAAAAATTATTGATATTAACACTAACAAAGGAAATACCAAATAAATAATAATTTTTATTTTAAATAAACAAGAGAGTTCAATTCTTATTTTTGTTATTAAAATTAAGATTGATCTAAAGAAAAGATTTCCAATATTTCTCGATATATAAATATTATATATTTTTTTAATGCACACTGTTTATACATAATCGTAACTTATTTATTGAAATAAGCACATATAAACAGTATACGGGGTGACTCACTATTCCGAAAAGAAATATTGAATCGAATTTTCCGAAGTTTCACATTTTAACCTATAATTTTTACAAAATATGCTTACAATGGTAGCGCATCTTTAAAAATAATATTCTTAATATACGGGGTGATTGGCATAATATTTGCATTCTAAAATTATCGTAATTAATAACAAGAATTCTTAAAATACAGTAATTTATAAGTGTTTAGTATGATACTAAATACAATATATTGTTTGGTTAGGTTTGGTATATTACATACATTTGATTGGTATATACAGGGTGGTCAAAAATAAAAAAAGTGAGAAATTCCAGTCTATGATAGTAGGTCTATAGATGATAGTTTGGAAGAGGACAGTATTATAAAATATTTCAACTAAAAAAGCAACAATAATTCGGAGTTTTAGAATTTTAAAGGTGTTTTAAATCTACAGAACTAGAAAAAATACAATTTACGCGTGATATATAGTTTGAATCGCCCTGTATACTAATAAAAAATAGATAAGCGCAAATGATATAAAAAATGGACTGAAAATATCAAACATGAAATCACATATAAAACGTTTTCTGAACAGTGGTCACCCTGTATACCAAACATTTTATCGCTGAGGTTACTATTTATACAGTTTTTTTGTAGGACTTCGAAAAAAAAAACATATTTCACAGGGTGTAATAATTTGGTCTCGTAGATATTAAATTATTTCTTTAGATTATTTACATTAATTTTTTTTTCGTTTGCTTCGTGCAATAATTTTTAGTTTAATTTTTAAGATATTTAAACTTACTTCTTGACCAAATATACTTATTTTAGACGGAAAAAATTATGACGGTAGCAAGTACATAATGCTCGCACATAAGAATTATCCTATTTATTTTTTATACATAGTTTTTGTTAATTTTAGTTTAGTTAGCTGATTTTATTTTTGCTCTTGCTTGATTTGAGGAGCTTCGAAAATAACATATACCGGGTGTTTTTCAAAAGTGGCTCACCCCTTATACAGGGTTGTTCACCACATACGACACGGAGTATTGTAGCTGAACGATTAGATTTTTACAAATTGTAAGTTTTGGGTTCGTTGAAGGACTATTAGAGCTACAATTTAAAAATATTTTTACAAGATACAGAGTGTCCCAAATAAATAAAAAATATCAAAGTTGTATTTTTTTAAATGGAGCACCCTGTACATTATTACATTTTTAGTTTCTATGATTAAAATAAAGGTAAAAATGATTAAGGTTTATCACCCTTAAACCTGACCGTTTTTGAAATATTTTCAATTTTGTGAAATTGCAGTAAAAATTTTAAGGCTTCATTTCTCCAAGGGATCAAAGTTTTTAATATTAAATATTTACTGAAGTTTATTTATTGATCAGGTATTATGTTGCAATAATAAAAATAATACTACCTCATACAGAGTGTCTAAAAATTTATTTTAAATAATTTCTAGCTTTAAACGGCAATAACTTGTTTAATTTAAATGGAACACCCTGTATATTTGAGGAGAATCAGATGCACAATTTAATTGTCCATCAAATTGTATTATACCATTTTTACCTATCCCTTCAAGTTTTCGTAGAAAATGCTTTTCTTATAATTTAGACTTCATTTATCAATATACCTATGGAATATTGACATTTTAGATTGTTTTTAAAGCAACAAATGTACAGGTGCTAAAGCGATAATATTACCAGCCTATTTGTATACAAAAATAAAACTATTTAAATATTTATAAAAGGGTGTACCATAACTAAATATACCACCATTATTTCCGCCCAAATACTAATTAATTACATATTTAATTGTGTTAGTTAATAAATTATTATTCTAAATGTGGATTTGGAATCAGAAATCAATATAATAATAAGTTATGAAAATGAACGTCTCTGTTGTTATAAATAAGCATCCGTCAAAAAATGAAATAAAATTTTAAGGTGTTATTTTTTACCACACTGTCTAATACACATATAAAATTAAGTTTTTTAGTATTTGAAGCAATTATTATTAATCAACGCAAACAGTCAATTAATGTAGTTTGAATACTGGAATCATATTAATTGGTCCTTTTTACAAATATTTAGACAATTATTTTTTATTTTTAATGACATAAACGAACTCTATCGACAATATTAATATCTGCAACCTTTAAAAATTTGTTAGATCTTTAAAAATAATCAAAAATGTCAATATTCCATGGGTATATTGATAATTGTGGTCTAAATTATAAGAAAATGCATTTTCTACGAAAACCTGAAGACATAGGTAAAAAATGATATAACACAATTTGATAGACAATTAAATTGTGCTGATTTCCATAAAATATACAGGGTGTTCCATTTAAATTATAGAAGTTATTGCCGTTTATAGCTAGTTATTATTTAAAATAAAATTTTAAACACTCTATATAAGGTAGTATAATTTTTATTATTGCAACACAAAATTTAGTAAATAGAAATACTTCAGTACAATATTTGGTTTTAAAAACTTAATACGCCGGGAGAACTAAAGCCTTAAAATTATTAATGTATTTTGACAAAAACGTAAATATTTCAAAAACGGTAAGCCTTATAAACCTTTATTTTAATCGTAGAAACAAAAAATGTAATAATATACAGGGTGTTCCATTTAAAAAAATGCAACTGATATTTTTTATTTTTTTGGGCCACTCTGTATCTTGTAAAAATATTTTTAAAATGTAGCTCTAATAGTCCTTCAACGAACCCAAAACTTACAATTTGCAAAAATCTAAGAGTTTAGCTACAATACTCCGCGTCGTATGTGGTGAACAACCCTGTATATATGACTAGGAGTGACCGAAAACAATTCAATGCGTCAATCAATCCTAATTTACGTCATATACTAATACATGAAATTTCGTTTTTTTTTATCTAAAAAAAAGAAAAAAGTTATAGGAGTCAGTGACTTTTGGGAAACACCCGGTATAATTGTAATTTTTTTTATTTCTACTTATTATATCAATTAACGATTTTTTATTTTGAAATATTATTTCTAGAAAAGTAATTCTATTGATGTAATATGACAATGTACTGTTTAGATGTAAAGTTTTGTAGAGCTTAGCGAAAAAAAGTGTATTTTTCATACATTACCATGAAATCAAATATTTTTCGACCCACCATTCTTGCTTATAGGACTATACGAAAGAAATAATTAACTATAGAAAGGTATAAGATAAGAATGTTCAGGCGTTTTAATTTTAAAATTAGAATTTTTGAAAAGAAATCGTTTGAATTGATATTATGTAATTTATTGCATATATTAATTAATTCATTAAATAGTAATCAGATTATTAATTTCTAGTTTTAAAATTGAAACACTATTCGATGTTCATTTGAACTACTATGTATTTGTACAGTTACAAAGAAAAATAAGGAATTATTATTGTATGCATTGATCCTAAGCAACTGCTATCTCCACTAAAAAAAGCGTTGCATTATTTTAGCACAGCTTATTCAGCAGACAGCCAGTCTACTAGTGCCGTGAGGCGAAATAGACACAGTAGCCTCGCTTTAAAGATATACCGTGCTGGCAAGTCTTACTTTTGGGTCGGTATTTACATGTGTGGAAGTAAATCGTATAGGGATCTTATTAAGTGGGAGTGAGAGAAATGCGACGCGGTGTGCTGTTGCAGCGTTGCCACATTCCTCCGGTACGCCTTTCTCTATCAAGTAAAGTAAAATCACTATCGGAAACCGCTTATTTTTAAAAGATTTTTATTTTTGAAAAGATA